AATTTGGTGTTTGGTTTTGAAAGCTAGAATTTTAGAAAAAGTAAAAGGAGCCATAGTAGAAATGGAAGGATCGGAGCAACACAGAAGAAAGTTAGAGGAAGAAGAGCAAGAGTAGAAATGAAGAGAATTTGTGCTTAAAAAGAATAATTAAAGACCAAAAGACAGGAAATTAATGCAAAGTATGCCGTCAAAATAAGGTGCATGTCTCAAGGGTACATGCAATGATAGCCTAGGAGTATGAAACGATTGCCAGACGAAAAATGCTTGACACACGTTTTTAGGGGCAAGTGAAGGGGCATAAAAAATTATGACACATGTAAGGAGCATTTAATGTACCCACATGAGGGTAACAGGGTAAAACACGTGAGGAAACAGTAAATTGATAAGGTAGGTAAAGTGAGGCCGAACTATCGAGGGCTCGGTAAGGAGAGCAAGCTCCACATGTAAACAATATCATTTTGAGTGAATGCATATAATTGAGGTACTGTTGTAATAGATAAGCATAATCCATGACTCGGTAAGAGCAAGTCAATTGGAAGAACATCTGCAGAGATTTCAGTAAATCCCTAACGAATATCTCGAATTAATGGGAGGTGTGACACCTTGCATCGTCAATCATGGAAATCCTAACGAAAGGAGACAATATAAAGATTATCAAGCAAGCACAGTAAAATGTACGTTGAATCCTCCTTGCATTTCAATCCTTTGTGTTAAATTACTAAAACATTGGAGTGCTTTCGATCAAAGTACTTCGGTCTTGGACAGTTTACTTGTTTTGCAGGAAAGAATACGAGGGATACAAGTTATAAACCAAACATCTCTTGAGAGAGGTAAACTCACTTTTTGCCTCTTACAAAAGTTCAAGAGCGTGAAATTTAAAAAAAAAATGAGAGGGGGAGCATCCCTGAAACCGTCAAATTTATATATATGATATTATGATACACATTAAAAAAGACGATGTCAAAATGCCAATAATAAGAAATAGAATTATTTATTAATGGTAAGAAAATAAGGAAAATATAATGGACATTTTAAAACAATATTTTGATCCCACGTTGGTAGAGCACCAAAAGATTTCTGTGGGAATCCAGTTATTAAAGAGGGTACTTGTTGGTTGTTTTGAAAGGTAAGAAGCAATATTTGATCCCACGTTGGTAGAACATCAAGAAGTTAGGTGGGAAAGCTGCTATTAATAGGACGGTAGTAGGCCATTTCAAATATAGTTGGGCTCAAATTGAGCCTTAGGCTACTGGACAGTTGTAAAATGTTTATTGAGTTGGGTCTCTACCCGTAAATTTGTCCAAGATTTTAGTACGCGAATTATCAAATATGAATTAGCGAATTTATGTCAAATTCCCAAGAAGTTTGTGGATGCCCATTCGGAATTTCAGTTCGCCAAGGATAATGCACGAATTATGTGACTCAGATGAATACCATCACTTTTCTGGTAAATGAATACCTTGGCTAAATGCCTTTTATGATGGAAGAATTTCAATTTTGCACCTAGGCTACAACACAAAAAAACGAAAGTAAAAACCAGACGTGCACAAATTAAACTGTGTCAAGCAAAGACACCTCCAAGCTACAACAAAATAGGGTACAATCACTGACTATCTTCTCCGATCTCTTCGACAAAAGCCTTGAGATTTTTGTTCGAAGATCCATCTTCCTTCATTTCTTCCCTTGCCAAATCTTTCCATCTCTTAGCATTTCTCGTCATTTCTTCTCCTCTTTCTCCACCTCCCATAACCATCTCTATACATTGCCTAAGCTCATCACCCTTGACAGGTTCTTCTCCGTTTGGCTTCACCCTCACCCCAGTCTTCCACACTTCTTCAATCATTCTCGCGTTGGTCATTTGATCGGACCAACGAGGAAACGCCACCACCGGAACCCCGGTAACCAAGCTCTCTAATGTAGAATTCCAGCCACAGTGTGTGACAAAACACCCCATTGAAGGGTGTGATAATACCTCCAATTGAGAACACCATGGCACTACCATCCCTTGTTGCTCCAATTCCTCCATACAACTTAGTTTATCTTCTTCTCTCTCCTCTTCTCCGTTCTCCTTCGCTTTAACTACCCACAAAAATGGCCTGCAACTCTTTAACAACCCTCGTGCAATCTCTTCCATTTGCCTCTTTGGTAGAGATAAAATGCTTCCAAACGATACATAAACAACCGATGATTTAGGCTTCGAGCTCAACCACTCATTGTATGCGTTTGATTTCTCAAAAAGGTCACCCCCAAACGAAGTGTCTGATGGGTCTTTTCCATCTAAGAAAGCAGAAGGAATTAGTGGCCCAATCCCAATCAAATTGTACTTATCGATGGCTTTTAAGGCCTCTGGTTCTAGTGCATCGAAAGAGTTAACAAGAACTATTGGGTTGGTTTCTTCATCTAGTGTTTCAAACTGCTCTTTAAAGTATTGGAGACCATTGAATTTGTCTGAGTTTGAAGGAAGTATAAAGGAGGGAAGGTCATGGCTTTTTATCAATGGCAGTCCTGGTAGCTCAATTGACCATAATGGGTCTTTACAATTTTCAACACTGATATCAAAGCCGGCATGAAAGTAATAGTAATATATATGCAAAACTGTGGCTGGTTGAATCCAAAGAAGTGCAGCTGGAATGTGAACCTCACGCGCCACCTCTGCAGCCCAGGAGAGGAGGAGGCTGTAGACCAAACAAGTGATCGGACGCCCTTCGTTGGCGGTAGCTTTAATGATTTCCCTGAGAGTTTGTGATCCATGGTTCCTGACCTCTGACATGTATTTTTTGGGATCAATATCACTTCGTTTGAAACCATCATCATAGCCGTCGGAGAAGGTGGCGAAGTTGAAACCCTTTGGTGGTCCAGTGGTTTTGGTCATGCGGCGGTGGGCGGAGAGGCTGGTGACGAAAGTGACCTCCACACCCATCTGAATGAGTCGCTTGGTGAATTGGAGAGATGGGTTGATGTGGCCTTGTGCCGGAAATGTTACAAGAAGGATGTGGCAGTGCACCATGGCGATTAATAATGTTCATAGCAAACATTATGCGATTCTCTTATATCTTATATGACTTTAGGAAGACATTATGAATGTTACTTGTCAAACCACAAAAATATGTGGGCGTCGTTCGTCCCCTGGTAATCAATGTTGGAGGCTATCACTTTTGTAATTAATGAAGAATGGCTGACCCGCACCTGTCCACGTTCGAGGATATGTGTTCAATTCCACATAGACTACGCACTATGAAAATTTAAATTTTATATATGTGGGTAAGAAACGTACACGTTATTAGGTCTCACAACAGTAGACCCATGGGATCAGGTAAGGAGGGCCCATGTTTGGGCAATGTGGGCATTAGCCCCTCATGGGTTTTAAAAATTTAATTTTTGAATGTTATATATCTTATATTATATGTCGTTTTTATTTGTCTCCCTTAAAATTTTCTATTTCGTCCCCCCCTTGGTGCTTGTTCTGTTATTGGCATCGGAGACAACCAACTTTTAAGTATGATGTTCTTTATCAATCATTTCGTATTTAAGCTATAAGTTTTTTCATAAATAATAAATCTAATTGGTTCAAAAAATTGTAAAAGTAACTACAAAAATTCTCTAATTTTATCAAAATTTATGCAATACTATATCAAGAAATTGTAAAAAAAAAAAATGAAAAACATCTGATTTCCATGTAATTCCAATTAAACATAGTTGTCATGCTAACATTTAGCTATTCATATTTGACACTAATTTTCGTTTATTTTTTATTTCACAATATCGTATCATAATTTGGAAAAAAAAAAAAAAGTCTAACAAGGGGTCCATATCTCAAGGTTTTGGTGTGTTGTCAAACCACATAGCGGCAACCTCTACTTTGGGGCAATCATGGCTGCCAACACATACCCCTATGCCCTCTATTGCCTAGCCTAAAGAAGGAATAGTTACATCAACTAGAAATAGCTCCCAGATGCCTTCTTGGAGCAAGATACAAATTCTAATTTATCTTCTCGTGGATTGTGCGTTGAACAGGTGACTCCCTTATTATTTGAAAATATGCGCATCACCTCTCTTGTGATCGTAGACTAAACTGTAACCCTCAAACGGTGATTGTAAAAATATTATAATATACCCTCAAATATATATGTCGTCTATTCAAAAAAATCTCGGACCTAAATATCGTATACTTAGTAACGCACAAAATCTCTCTCTTCTCTCTATACTAGCACGAAGTCTCTCTTTTCTCTCTTTCTACCGGCCCTTGAACCCGCAAGCAGAGTTCGAATTACGGCTTTGATTTCTTGATGATTTAACGTTAGGGTTTCGATTGACCGGTTAAATAAGCAAAATATTTTATTTTTTAAGAAGATTCAAGGCCAAAAATAAGATTAGTTTATTCCAATTTTTCTTATATGCTAAGTTATGCGATGAGTTATGTGTGTGAAAAGTTTTATCGTTTTTTCATTTTTGTTTTGTTTTTGTGGCATAGATTTGTTGTTTATTGGCTTAGTGGTCCTACCGCTAAGGATTTGTATTTTAAATATTTGGTTTTTTTTGGTTTGTGGCCAAACCAACGGTTCCATCTATGGGTGTTTTTTTTCTAGTTTGTGTTCCTACCACATGTTGTATGGTGATTTTTGATGGATAAAATGGGACAGAGGTGATGGTGATCCACTAAGGATTTTGGATGTATGGTGATCCAGTAAGAATTTTGTATGGTGATTTTGTTTTTTTCTAGTTTGTGGTCCCCACTGATTGTTTATTGTATTAATGTGCATCTTTTAATGCAGAATAGGTTGGGACAAATTTGCTATCGAGCTGCATCATGGGGGAAAGTTCATGTGGACACCAAAAATTGTTTATAAAGGTGGTACTGTAAGTATTATTGAAGACTGCAAACCAAACAAATTTTTTTTCTTGAGATTATAGACATGTATGTATCATTAGGAGGAGAATGAGCAAATCTTGACATATATTATAAGGTTCTTGGGTGCAATTTGGATATGAGAGTAAAACAAATGAGGTCAGATTGTGAAGTTATCGAGTTACTAAAATGTTATGAAGACCTGCCAGTAGTTGTAATATACATTGACAAGGGTGATTATCTACTTTCTATGTTATCATCAGATTGTGCAAGGGAAACTGTGAATACTATGGATGATGAAGTTGATGTTAATGTCAACGAACAGATTCAAAACAGTGATACACTTGAGATTGATTCTAATGATAGTGACTGTGTAATGAATACCTCTGAATGTTATGATAGTGACGAGTATAGTGAGAACCCTAGTTGGATTTATGAAGATCTAGAAGGTCTAGATGATTATGACATTTTTTGGAAGTGACTTTCCAACTAATGGGGCTGAAGCGTCTGTTAATCAAGATGTTGGACCATCTCAGTCAAATGTAAATGTGCCAGTGGATGAGGAATGGTGTTCTGCAACAGTAAATGAAAATGAGCTACTCAATCTAACAGGGTCATCTGATGAAGAAGGTGATGGTTACCTTGAGTTCAGTGAGATAATGATGCTTGATTTCAAACTTGTGGTTGGGATGAAATTTCAATCTCTTTAGGCTTTTAGAGAACTACTTAGGGAATACAATGTGAAAAATGGGTATGACATCAAATACTTGAAGAATGAGAATAGGAAAATCATTGCTATTTGCAAGTATGGGTGTGACTGGAGGATACATGCATCACCAATTGAAGGGAGTAGAACTTTTCAATTGAAGACACTAAAAGACTCACATTCATGTGGTAGGCACTATGAGAACAAACTTAGGGTATTTGGGAGCCAAGTATGTTGATGAGGTGAGAGATAATCCTAGCATAAATGTTGTCTCATTTTCCAAGAAAATAAAGAGAGACTTAATGCTGAATTCGAGCAGGTTTCAATGTCACAAGGCGAAAAGGAAGGCTAAAGATGTAATAGCAGGTGATGTGACTAAGCAATATGTTACTATGAGGCGTTAGGAAACATAACCCCAATAGCACACTTCTATCGAAGCCTAAAAATGGAGCACTACACCCAACCTTTCAGAGAATGTATTGGAGTTTGGGAGCCATGAAAGAAGGATTTGTTGATGGTCGTTGGAACGGTTCAGTTGGGAGATGTTCTGGGAATGATGTCGTTGACAAGTATATCCAACTTGTTCAACCTATTGGAAATGTGCACAAAACAAGTATATCCAACGTATTGGATAGAATTAGGGCTAAGAAAAGGTCATAATTAAGTCTGAATATTTTTTTGTCTATGTTAAATCAAAAGAGCCTTTTGGACATATTGTTATGTGTTCTTTTGATTGTATTGAACATGTATTTCCTTTTTGGTTATATAGGAAAATGGTTGTGACCATTTTTCTCTTTTGAAAATTTGTTGCACATCTAGCTGATGGCTGTGACTTGTAGGAATTTGGTATTTATATGTCCAGCAATCCATAGATGTCTGATATTGTGTCAAATAGACATTTCATTAGATAAAACACCTTCACGTTACATTAAATACAAATTAGCCCTTCAAAACATAGACAACATGTTTTTAGTTTTTGCTTAAGACTAAAACAAACACTGCCAAACAAATTATAGGTACAATAAACTTTCTCCTTAGCATAGACTTCATGGCCTCCTTATCAGACTTCATGGCCTCTTGACTAGATTCAATCATTATCATCCTATTGCTTATTTTTGCAATTTCATCATCATTTGGAGTGGCAGACATACCAATCGAGATGCCCAAAACTGAAATGGGATAACACCATGCCCAATATTCACAATTTTTAGTCCTGCAAACATAATACAATCTTCCTTTCGACGGTTTATTGGAATCAACTACTTTGATTATCGCTTTACGCCCACACCCACAAATTTAGGTACTGAACCTCAAATTCATAGGCTCCCCTCCCCTTAAGTTGCTCAAGTATGATGTCTAATTATAACAAAACATTATTATGAAGTTGTTACGTACATTTTAAATGAAAATAATTAAAATAAGAAAAGCATAATTTTTATCGTAGTAATTTATTAGCCATTATATTACTTAGAAAACATGCTTAAATAAATTACTTTTTTTTATGGTAGCTTCTTTCCTCCAACACCACCAAACAGCAGGACTCCAGCTCCAGAAAGCAACAAAGTCCAGCCATGCAAAGAAAATGAAAAGCTCAAGCTTTTATCATAGCATTAGAAGGTCATTTTTGACATTTATGTATATTTATTTTGGAGGGAAGCTGATTTCTTCTTTCATCAATCGCCAAATCAGTGCGTCCACTCCACTGTCGTCTATTTTGACAGAAAACGTGAGAGTTGCAATTTAATCCACAACCACAGAGGGTGATGTGCATATTTCCAAATCAGAGAGAGATCATCTGCTCAAGGCAAAAACCACGAGGGAATAAATTGGAATTTGTCCTACTAATAAAAGGGGCGGATTCTAGTATGAATAAAGCAAGTACCATAAAAAATATGAGAGTCAAATATATTGAACCGTTGTCTGGAGGGAAAGAAGGTTGCAGAACTGTGGTTGCAGAACATTGTAGGGAATGAGAAGCATGTCTGGTAGGCTATTTTATTGACAAAAATTTGCCTTTTTCAGTGGTTATTGCTCAAAGACGGTGGAACGGACATGGACTGGTAGAAGTCTTAACGAATGACCAAGGGTTTTTCTTCTTTAAATTTATTGATGAGGAGGCTAGCTTCAAAGTCCTACAAGAGGGGCCATGGTTGTTCTATGGTAGGCCAATTATACTTATAAAGTGGCAGCCAAGGTTGAAACCAACTAAAGACCTGCATATAGAATTCCAATATGGATCAAACTATTCAGGAAAATGCAATGCTTACAAAGAATTTTGACCATATCTTCCATACCACATGATGGGGCACAATTTCCGTCATTAAATATTTAATAGAACTCAGTTATCTTATGATTAAAAACTATGCCACATCATTTGGGATCAAGATTTGAAAAAAAAAAATTATGAACATAATATTACCCAATTATTTAACATCCCACTTGAGTACTGGATTGCAGAGGGACTCAGCTACCTAGTTAATTCAGTGGGGGAGGCCTTTGTATGCTAGCCGCACTACAAGAATAAAAGTTTTTTGTAACAAATTTTTTACGGTAACTGTATTCAAGTCACAAAAGACGTGTTTGAGATAATTTTTTTTAATGGTTGTATTTGTCATCACAAAAAAGTGTTTGTATTAGTATTTTGTTAATATTAATGACACCTATTTTTCCTACCATAAATAGTGTCATAAATTCAAAAGAATTTTTTTTGTATTTGAGACAGCTCTTTTTCTTGCCACAAATAATATTTCATATACTCAAAAGATTTTTTGTATTTGTGGTAGCTATTTTTTCCATCACATATAATATTTCATAAAACATTAAAAAAAATTAGATTAAAAAATAGTTTATAATTTAAAGCTGAAAAACTAAAAAAAAAAAAATTGTATTGGCCACAATTATTTTTCATGTTACAAGTAATATTTTATAAAATTACATAGTTTTACATCACAAGACAATTTCTAGTTCAAAGAAAAAAAAATTAAACTCTACAAAGTCAATTTTTTATATGAAAATTAGGGATGTCAAAATATGATATGACTCGTTAACACAATACAAAATTAGTAGATTTGGGTCTTTCCTTTAAGTCATTTGTTTAGTAAACGAGTGGACCCAACACTATACGATTAGTAAACGAATCAGGAATTGGTGCCAATCATAAAAAATGTACACGACACATATACTATTTATACAATGTTCATACACGACACAAATTCGATATGATATAATTTATTAGAAACGAATTAATAAACGAATTGAGTATGAGTTAAAAAAATTTTATTTGATACGAACTAGGGGTGGCACAAAGAAATTTGAGATTTAATGTGAAAACACTAAATGAGAGTCTTTTATTTTTAATATTATTTTTTTGAAAAAAATTAATTTATTTTTAATTTATTATGTGTGATAGAGAGAGACACACACAAAAAAAGGACGTGTTAGTATTGCTGAGAAAAATATTTTAACTTTTGTTTTATTTTTAAACGGGGAGAGTGTTTAATTTTAACTTCTTTTTTTTTTTAATATGTTTTACTTATTTTTATAGAGAGAGAGTGGGTAGGGTAAATATTAGTTGATTTTTGAGTATTTATTTATTTTATTTTTGTACCAATGTTATGAAGAATCCAGCTGACCCAAAGGACTTTTTCCTTAAGTAGATTAAACCGGATATAAAGAGAGGACAACAACTCCCTACCCTGAATTCCATCTGGCACCTTTTTGCTTAATCACATAATTTTGCTTTTTGAGATCTGCAATATAATTGCACTCAACTTAGAAGAATGTAAAGAAGTTACTTATGGGTCAATGATATTTTTTATTTTATGAAGACTTTATCTTTTTGAGGTTAAGGGTTCAAGTCCCCCTCTACCCTTCTCTCCCCCAAAATTTTTTTTTTTTTTAAAAATTATTATTGACCCAAATTATTACACTTAAAAGTTTGACTTCACTTAATTTTTTGGGGTCTTTTTTGTAGGATTTAATTTTTTTCTGAGTTAATAATGTATCTAAAATTATAAGGCATTCTAAAACTTTGGGTCCTAAAGCCCAAGCTTTTTTTTTTTTTTTTTAATACTATTGGAGTTTGATCCAAACTGTCTAAATGTTTTATTCCTTATTTATTTGGTATTAGTTTGCAATTAGAATTTTAATGGATTTAAGAGTTTTGACCCATACAGTATTCTAACTAGTTTAGTGTATTCTAATTAAAGTTATATTAGGATTAGTGTGATTTGGTTTTAAAAAACTTGGCGAAAGTCTTTCATCTTTAATCGGGAAGTCTTAGACAGCAGCTTTGATGAATGTAATTCCTTTTTTTGGACGTTGAGCATAGATGTGTTTCATCAATTTCATTTCTTCATTTTATTTCTTGTTTTGTTTTATTTTATTTTGATTAATTGAGTGTAAAGTTATTTTGAGATCCCACAATTGACAGACCTATCAAAAATTAAGAGATGACATTAATTTTTTGTTGCCTATAAAATTATTAATTTTTAATTTATTGCCCCAATTGCCCAAAAAAAAAAACACCGTTCCCCCCTCCCTTTTTTCATTTTCCCTCTTTTTTTACCTTTTTTCTTCTTCCCTCTTTTCTTGTCTTTTTCCCTAGCGATAGACAATTGTCTTCTTCCCCAACGGCAGTCAGACTCACACAGGAAGGTAACTCTCTCTCTCTCTCTCTCTCTCTCTCTCTCTCTCTCTCCCTCGATTTTGTGTAACCAACATTCTTGATTGCCTTTTAATTTGTGAATTTTTTTATGCTATCTTTATTTGCACAATATTCGAGTTAAGTGTGATAATTCTTCTCAATTTCATTATTATAGAATTTTTCAGATTGATGTTTATTTTTAATTATATTCAAATTGAGTTCCAATAATTATTTTAAGACAGTTCATCCCATATGCAATATATAAATAAGTGTGGGGATTAGATTAAGATCATGTTTCAACTCGTCTAGAGAAATTTTGATTCTTGGCAAGTTCAAGTGTTGATTTCGTAATGATAATTACTTTTACGCTATGAACTAAAATACTAAAAATATGAAGGATTAATACTGATTGTGCTCGAAAAATGCTCAGCCCAAGTTCCAGAGCAATGTTTAATAAGATTGGGAGGTAGTGTAAATCTTCTAAGCTGACAAAGTAAAAGTATGATGAAATGGGATCAAAGACAATAAATGAGTGGTTTACCCTAGCCGAAAGACCAAAGCTACGTCCACTGTAATAGAGACTCTTGCTCCGTAGGGTTTGTATTGGTTGAAGAAAAAGAAAATTAGAATAGGTTTCTTAACTTTGAGCTAGTGTGGACAGAATCTCGTGAGTACAAGTTTTTCTCATATACCTTTCTTTTACAATGTGAGGGTATTATATATACAAGTAGTCATCTAGGATTTTTGGCGATCTTCTTCTTCCCTCGGTTGATTCTGTGCTCCCCTCCTTTTTGTCTTGTAGTGGTGACCGTTATTCTGACACAAATTATCTTCACGATCTTTCAATGGAATGTGTACAAATATTCCCTTTTTCAGTGAGCGTGCGCTCGTTAGTGGCTCCAGAAACTGTCCCTTGGACATGTGGCATGATGGAAGGCGTTCGAGATCCAGTAAATACCGAGCTCTTTTCTCCCAAGCGGCTTGTTACTAAACTTGTCATAACCGAGCAGAATTGTGCCGATTTGGGCTCTGTTGGACTCCCTTCTTTGGATTACGGTCCATTCCTATTGCGGAGCAGATGGGCTGCGGAAGGATCACTTGAGCTATCATTTAACCATTGGACCTATTGGATGCTCTGGGTTTTTGATGGGCAGCCCATGCCAAAATTCTATCATTATCAAATACCTAACTATATTGTTAGATTATGTTCACCGGAGAATTTTATTTTTATCAACAATGTTAAAGGAATATAGCGTTAAAGTATCAATCTTTTAATCCATTTGTTAAGTTAATTACAATTTACGTATTAAAGCAAAAACCACTTTTTGTTAAACCATTTATATTGGACAAATTTTTTGCCATGAATTTTTGCATGAGACAAAGTAGACTTACTTAGTTCTAAAGTTTCAAAACACATAGTAATAGAGGGCCTTATTATAAGTATGGACCAATCGACAGAAATATATGGAATTCCATCGGAATCAAATTTTTGGTAAGCATTTGTTGAAAATGCAAGAAAACTAAATGTGTGTTTGATAAAGTCTCGTCGAGGTATTCTTACAATTGAACAATTCATTCAAAAAAATATTGTGTAGCCCTCTCTTGATATATATTCTAACTTTTTTTAATTCTTTATTGTATATATGTATATAAATATCATTTCAGTATAGCAACAATATTTTTATTTTTTTTCAGGTGTCACAAAGAGAATAGATGGTTGAGGTAAGATGTTCAATTTTTTGCATTAATTTTTTATACTCATGGATCGTTATATTTTGCAAAAGTACATATTTTACATTTTGTTTAGGTCATGAGATTTTTTTTTTGAATATGAAAATATTACTGTGTTTTTGAAAATACTTATCATATTTACTTGTGTTTATCTATATATCGAATTGTGTAGTTGTACGAATGCTTACCTTTAAATTCGTGTGATAGAAGTGTATATATGAACAGGGTATATAACATTGGTTATCAATTGTCCATAATAATTAAAAATTTTTTTGTTTTTTTGACGGCATCGTTGCCATCATAAATATATTTTATTTAATATAGAGAAAATTTCATACTTTTTGCGGCAGTAAACTAACCGCCATAACAAAGTCTTCTATTTTTTATGAGAGTCAAATGTGGTCTTTGAGCCAACATTTTGCCGCCATGATAAAAGACAAAGTGTCTGATTTTTGTGACAATTTATTTTACGACAGGGTATTTCTGTCATAAATATTATTTGAGACAGACCGTTACTACCGTAAAAATTTTTTAAGACTACATTTATTATGACGAGACAATGCCGCCACAAAAAATAATTGTGACAACAAATTTACGGAATCTTTTTTTCTTGTAGTGCGTGGTCACATAATCCAAACAAAGAGTCACATTTGCCAGGGTATGTGTGGAGATTGATGCAGCAAGGGAACCAATTGATTCATTTTGAATTAAGCATGAAAGGTACACACCAAGAAGAAAGAGATGAAACTGTGATCATTTCTGTTGGATATCAGTGGAGACCTAAAACCTCTGTGGAATGTAAAGCATTTGGTCACAACACATTAAATTTCCCAAGGAAATTAGGCAAAAAAGAGTGGACTAAAGAGGTCATGGAAGCTACTGACAAGGGGAAATGAGTTTTAATCCCAACAGAGGAGAAAACTTCCAAGGAGTCCAGCTTCTAGGAACAGATGAAAGAACAACAAAAGGCTAGCTCAAGCAATTATAATGAGCACTCTGCTGTTGTTTTGTCAAACAAATCTTCCAAAGAAAATCCAACTGGGTTCGTTGAAGCTATAACTCCCAATCCATCCACCCAACAAAAGTCTATAGCTGTCAGCACAAGCAGCCAATTTGCTAGATTAGTAGTTGATTTGAGCGTGCCTGATCTGAATGGAGAAAGAACTGCTTCTCCTGAAACAAGTTTACTGCCAGCTGAAGAGGGAAAGTTGAGACTACTAAGTCTCAAGGGCACCACCCTCCCAAGCGCAAATGATTAATATTGCCTGCTGGAACATAAGGGAGCTAAACTCTCCCCCTAAACAATTGCAGGTCAAAAAGATAATTTTTTAACGACAATTAGATATACTTAGTATTGTAGAAACAAAAGTGAGATCTATTATCATGAATTCTATATTCGTAGATTGGGAATGTTTTGATAACTAAAACAGCCATACATTGGGGAAGATTTGGGTTGGTTGGAACCCTCAAAGCATTAAAGTGGAAAAAATAGCTGAAACGGACCAAAGTTTGCACTACTCTGTTCAACACCTGGAGAGTAAGAGAATAATCAAGGTATCATCTGTTCATGGGTCTATTGATTTCAGAGAAAGAAAAATGATATGGAGAAACATGGAATACTATGTTAATTTGAACCATTCAAATCCATGGCTCTTACTAGGGGACTTCAACGTTGTAAGAAATGTGAAGGAAATAGAAGTAGGCAACCCAAGAAGAACTCAAGCAATTGCAGAATTTGAAGCTCTATTCAAGCCTCAGAGCTTGATGGCCTTGGGTACTCAGGGATGCTATTCACCTGGTGCAACAATATAGAAGAGAAAGGGTGTGGAGTGAAGAAACAAGACAGAACATTGATCAATGAATCTTGGAACCTGACCTAGCAGCAGAGTTCAAGCCATCAGGCATCTTTGACCATAGTCAGATAATGGTCACAATGGGAAAAACTGTGAAAACAAGGAGATGTTCGTTCCAATTTTTTAATTTCATGGCTGAAAGGGAGGACTTCTTGCAAATTGTTGAGCAGTCGTGGTAGACACTTGTGAGGGATAATATGCAATTCCAAGTAACCCAGAAATTAAAGTTGATCCAGGCAGAGCTTAAAAAGCTTAACAAAGAGAAAGTGGGTGATGTCATACTTAAAGCGAATGAGATTAGAGCACAACTTGTTGAATGTCAAAGGAAACTAGACTGCAACCCTATGGATCATGCCCTAAGGGGCCTTGAGAAAGATATGGTGAAGAAGTTGGCTGCTGCACTTAGAGATGAAAAGGATGGTTCTTGAAACAAAAGTCAAGAATGTAGTGGCTCAAAGTCGGAGATAGGAATGCAACATTCTTTTTCAGATCCATAATTAGAAGAAGAAAATAACTTAGAATCACAAACATCCAAAGACATGATGGATCTCTAGCAGAACAAGAGAATGAGGGGAAAGAAGAGATAGTCCATTTTTTTCAAAATCTCCTCACCAGTTCTAACCCTCTAGCTAGTCATGGAGTGACATTGCTGAGGAATAGAATCCATCATGCCTTAACAATTGAGCAAGCCAGCCACTTAAGTACAGAAGTCACAGAGGAGGAGATTAAAAAGGTATGTTTCTCACTTAATGCAAACAAAGCACCTGGCCCAAATGGGTTTAATGCATACTTCTTCCATAAAACCTGACTAATCATAGGAGAAGACATCATTCTGGCTGTCAAGTAGTTCTTTACCTATGCACAAATCCTTAGGGAGATAAATTCAACCATCGTTGCCTTAGTCCCTAAAGTTCCTAATCCTACCACAATGAATGGTTTCAGGCCAATTGCATGCTACAATACACTATACTAGCTTATCGCTAAGATCATTGCTAATACATTGAAACCCCTTTTGTCTAAAATACTAGAGTTATCTGTGAGTGAAAGGGATGCAAACTAAGTATAGAATCCTCATATATAGAGTCAATAAAAGTTACAATAAAGATAAAAATGTAAAAAAGAAAAAACTCTAATAAAGCCTAATAACCTAGGCTGCTATAACTCCAACATTGCCCTTCAAACTAAACGCAAAAATGTCAACTAAGCCAAACTTGACAATGGAGTCCTGAAGAATGGATAGAGTGACATGTTTGGTGAAAATATCTACAACCTGATCAATGGTCTCCACAAACTATGGAGTGACAATACCATTGTTAATCTTCTCTCAAAGAAAGTGAACATCGATTTCTATATGTTTCATCCTCTCGTGTAATACAGAGTCAAAAGCGAGCTGAATAGCAGATCGATAATCACAATATAATGTAGATAAAAAAGTCATTGAAAATCCCAAGTCTCCAACAATCGATCGTAAGCATATAATCTCATATGTGTCAAGTGTCAGTGCTCGATACTCTGCTTTTGTTGACGAGCGAAAGACAACTGACTGCTTCTTGCTCCTCCAAGAGATAAGCTGAGTTCCTTGAAAAATACAGAAGTCCGCAGTAGATCGACCGTCACATGCTCTCCCAAAATCTGAATCTGAATAACAGGCTAGAGAACTAGTCTGAGATCTTGATTTATAGAACAACCCAAGTCCAGGACAAGACTTGAGGTACTGAAGAATATGATAAACTGCATCAAGATGAGGCTGACATGGTCTATGCATGAACTGACTAACTCGGCTGACAACGAATGAAATGTATGACATAGTGTTGGCTAGGTAGATAAGTCTACCTACCAACTTCTAATAGATAGTCGGATCTCTCAACTCCTCACCTTCAGTAGTAAGCTTCAGGTTTGGAATCATGGGTGATGATTAGGGATGACAGTAAACCGAAAAAAAATGGTTATTCGTCCAAATTTGCCCCATTTGGACCGGGGATGAACTATACATATTAGACGGTGAACCTATACGGGGATACCCGTATAAATCCATGAGGGGATGAAGGCGGGGATAAACTTACCCTTACCCTGGCCCCGTCCTTGCCCCGCCGCATCCCGGCCCCACTATACCCGTTAAATTTATACATATACTCCAGTTAAACCCTAAGGCCTAACTTACTCTCCTCTTCCTATATCAGCCGCCCACCTCCTTCGAGTTATCTCTATCTCTATCTCTCTATCCCTTTCTCTCTCTCTCTCATTCATTTCTACAACATTGTGGCAATTGATCTACAAGAAGCTCCCAACCGATATTGCTAGCCGCCATGTGCTGTTGCTTAACCCAGTTCTCACTTCAAGTTAGATAAACCAAAATAGTTTTCAGTATGATACACCTTTGTGCTTTCATTTATGGTTTCCAAATAGTTTTTCTTTCACTGATTTTGGGCATGGGTTATCATATTTAACTTGGAATTCTTCATTGGATGTGGATTAAAATCAGGTGAAATCACTCATAATGAGACGACAATTATAAGTGGAGCCCTAGATTTGATTGAGAAGGTGCTCACTACTCTGATACTGTTATTTGTTAAATTTTATTCATAGAATGTTTGTTTCCTGTTCACAGCATTATTCAAAATTATACCCATTATATTTTTTGCAAACTAAGAATGAGGAATTGCACCAGAAATTGTGAAACATGTTTTGTGTTGATGACAATATGCAAATACTTGTCCAAAATTTTTTATGTTCAAGAAGTCTATATTTACTTACACGTGAGTATAAATTTCAATAATGTATTATTCCCCCACCCCCTCCCTCCCTCTTTCTTTTTGAGTTACATATTTTACTTTGGTTTGAACACAAAGCTCTCCGAACTACTGATTTGTAGCCAAAGTGATGAGCTGAATGTACAGAATATTTTGATTGATCCTTTTGTTCTCCCTAATTTGATGATATTTCTTTAACTTTTGTCAGTTTCTTCCAATCTAATTAAGATTTTGCCACACCATTTTCAGCCTCATTTTTTTCCTGTCAAAATTTGTTCATATAATTAAGCACCGAGTATTTCCAATGTTTTCTACCAATATGGAAGGGCTAAATCCCTTGATTTTTTCCTTTTTCTGCTAAACAACGTTTTAAGTTGCTTAATGCTACAAAACTGATTCCAAACATACGTATTCCATTATGACTTTTTTCCCCTTACCATGCTTGCTCCTAAATTCTTAAAATTTTGATACAAGAGACTCTGTTGCAATGGGTTTCTGAAACTCCTCTTGTAATGAATTCCTTACCATGCTTTCTCCTAAATCCTAAATATTTTTAGGCAGGTGACCCTATTGTAAAGAGTTTCTGAAACTCCTCTTGTATTTCTTTCTTGAAAACAGATAGTTAAGGAGTCTATGACACCAATTGAGTCAACATTTTCCTTGGATGTCAATTCCAAATTGAACTAGTTAGTGTTGCACCTATATTCAATTGAGATTGTGACTTCAACTTTGATAAGATGAAGTTGCCTTCCGTGACAACCTTTACTTGTTATTTAGCTTTTATCTGATGATCCTAGTTTTGTTCCACAGAAACCTTAAATGTATTTTTCTAATGTATTTGGCTTTGTTTTCCCCATTTGTCGTAGGTTGAGAGAAACGATACAATAATCTTACACTGTCTGATTATATCAAATTCAAGTAGTATTTTGGACATTTGTTGTTTATGTTATGTTGGAATATGTTATACTACTTTATGTTGTGTTAGATTATGTTAAATTATTTAGAATGTTATTGAATTATTTAAAATGTTGAATTTATTTAGAATTTTGGATTATGTTGGCTTGAATTTGGGCTTAGACTTGGGCTTGGGCAGGTACGAGGGAAATGGGGACGGGGGTGGGGATTAGAAATTTACCCCCGGATAAGAATAGGGATAAAAATTATACCTGTTAATGGGGGTGGACCGGGGATAGACAAAGATTTTTTAAGTGGGTACGGGGATGAAGACTATACCCCCCGCCCTCGCTTTGGTCCACTAACATCCCTAATGATGATGTCGGTTTGCACCCCAGTATCCCAGTGTCTAAGAGAAGATCCAGAACATACTTTTTCTGAGAAAAAATAATACCCCTACTGCTACGGGCAACCTCAATCTCAAGAAAGTATCACAGAAATCCAAGGTCCTTCACATCAAAGGGCTTTCCAAGGTCTACCTTGACCTATATAGTCTCATAAATATCATCTCTAGTATTAATAATATCATTAGCATATACCAAAAGAATGACACACTGTCCCGAAATATTCCGTCGAATGAAATAGACATGATCAGAATGACATCTGATGAACCCTAAACGTACAACTACATCACTAAAGTGAGAAAACCAGACTCGTGGTGATTGTTTCAGTCTATAAAGAGACTTACGCAGTCAACATACATTTCTACCATACTCCCCCTCACCACAAAAGTCCGGTGGTGCATCCATATAAATAATCTCGTACAAATCACCGTGAAGAAAGACATTGTTCACATCCAACTGATGAAGAGACCAAGAGTACTCCGTAGCCAGAGAAAATCAATCAAACAGTAGTCAATTTTGCCACAGGGGCAAAGGTAGCACCAAAATCACAACCTGGTGCCTGAGTAAAGCCCTTCACCACAAATCTAACCTTGTGACGATTAATAGTACCATCTGTAAGAAACTTCAGGGTGTAAACCCAGTGACAGCCAACAGGCTTCACCCCTGAAGATAAAGAGATAAAATCTAACGTATGATTACACTAAAGAGCGTCCATCTTCGTCGGCATGGCAAGAATCCACTGGGGCTCCCGCATAACCTCTAAAATAGAGCAAAGAACCGGCATGTTTGATAAGGCCATACTATAAGCGCGAAATGTAGGAAACAGAGCATCCCAAGAAACATAAGTAAAGATCGGATATAAAGTCTTGGCAGTCCAACCATAACGAATAACTGGACGGCAATCACACTGCGGAAAACGACATCCTAAATCATCATCTTCTACTGACAATGTCTCATCTAGTAAAGTAACTGGCTCAGTACCTACAATCTCATTAGTACTAACAACATGTGCATCAATATGTTCAACGAACTAAAAAGTATTACCTGCATCGCCTGAGATAGAGGGGACATCAACAGGGGGATGAGAACGAAGGCGACGAACATAAACCTACAAAGGGTGAGAGACTGATGACTCTGTACTGACAAGTATGAGGGGCTCTGGAGGAGGAGAGACTAATGACTCTGTAGTGATAGTGACCAATGGCTCTGACTTCTGTGGTAACGAAAAATCAAAGGGAGTATCATCAACTGGAGGGGTAGACACAAGACTGGAAGAAAAATAAGGAATATGCTCAAGAAAGGTAACATCTAAATTGTGATACATACGTCGCCTGCGAAGATCATAACACCGATACCCCTTAGACTGATGACAATAGCCCA